GAAACTGCAAATGCGGAGTATAGATCGCAATCTTAACAAAATTCACCTTTTAAGAGTGGTGGGTGAATCATTTAAGTTAAATTTTAAGTTCCGAAGCCAAAATGGTATTTCTACTGCTTTTTTTTTACCCATGGATATAAACAAGGACTATACATGGACATATACGCATGAACATGGATTAATCTTTGAAAACATGTTGTGATCTTGCTTAAGTGATATTATACTTGGTTAGGGGTAATAAGATGATTTTTAAAATGGGTGAATCCCAATAAGTCAAAAGCAGTAAGTAAAAACATTTTAACCTCATCACCCAAATTAATGTACAAAAATAAATACTAACAAATAACCAAACTTCAAACAACCAAAATTTGATGATTCGGGAATTCTATGATTGGCGATTTCATCAATTATTTGAGGTATCGTTTTCAAGGTTTCCATTTGATTTTGGAGTGTTTTTTATGTAGTTAGAATTCAATTATTAAATCTAATTTATAAATTATAATGAATCCTCAATACAAGGAGTTGAGGGGGGATTTTTCAAATGTTTAGGACATTTTTGGTATATTTTGTGGCCATATATTAGTATTTTGAGATTTTGCAAGCTTTTTTTTTTTTTTTTTTCTATTGTCTTCTTTCTTATTGGGATTTATTTGAGTTTTGTCTTATTTCTTCTTTTTTTTTGTCTTTTTTTATTATTTTTATGCTAAAATTTTTAATTATTTAAACATTTACGAATTTCTTTAATTTTTTTGCATTCTTTAATTTTCCTATATTTTAGAATATTTCTGCTACTTAAAGTCTTATACTTTGGGTTTTATTTTATTTATTTTACTCTCTTCAATAAAAACCTCAAATTTTAAGATAAATTTAAAATTTATTGCATTTTTCCACTTTATTTCATTAGAATAAATATATGGTTATTTCTTATTTAGATTTTTTGTTATTATTATTTGTATTTTGTTTCATATACATTAGTGTTAGCAAGACCATTTTTTTTTTGTTGAATTCAATCAATTAAACACTATATATATATGGATATATCAAGTTCAACCGATCAAATCTTATCAAATATATTTAGTTTAATTTTATATTTAATTTATCTAATTATAATGATTTGATTGGTTGATCTATTTGATTGCTTATGTACTTTTTATCCATTTTTATTTTATAAATTTACTTGTTAATATAAAAAATGATACGGTGACAAATTTTAAAATTTTAATAAAAAATTATATATAAATTTGATAAAAATAAAAAATTATTTTATATCTTTCATATCAATTAAAATTATAATATATAATTTTTATATAAAATATAATATAAATATATAAATGGTTAAATCAACCCTATGGTTTATGTGAACGACATGGAAATGACATAAACACGTGCATTTACGCATTCGATGCGTCATGCCTACCATGATTGCTCTTTTACTTTATGTTCTTTTTTCCCCTTTTCTTCTTACTTTTTTTTTTGTTTTTTTTCAATATAAAAATAAAATACGCAATGGAGAAGTGCTTGGGAGTTTGAAGAACAGTCAATGTTCGCTAGTAGAGCCAAAACATGTGCACCAATCAACACATCTCGCCAAAAAGCATTTAATTTTTCCCAATTCCATCATCCCATCACGGCGATGGCTAGTTGCTTTGGCTTTGGGTTCATATTTCATTATACAAAGAATTGAACAGTTTGAAAAACAAAAATTGGATAGTTATATCATATTTATTTTGTATTAAATAAATATAAAATATTAAATTTTTGGTATTATAATTTATATTGATATGTTAAATAATAATATATATTTTAATTTTTATCAAATATATATTATTTTTATTAAAATTTTAAATATTATTATTATTATTATTATTTTAATATTTTAATATTATATTACATTTAAAAATATTAAAATTTAAAATTCAAATATCACTCTTTCAAAATATTACATAAATAATTAAACTAAATCTCATAAACTCATCATTTCAAGTCAGGGCCTCCAAGGATTATCTATATTTTTATTCAATGAGTTAAAAAAAAAAAGCATTAGTTTGTTTTTAAGTTTGATTTGATTGAAAAGCATTAATTTTAATGAGAAAGGGTTTATGGAAAACTAGGAATAGAGAGACGGATTAGAAAGGCTGATAACAATAGATAACACAAAAAAGAGTCAACTGCTGCCCACCATGGACGATAACAGAGGAAGAGGAAGTGCCCCACTTTTGACATGATCAAATCCTATTACAAACCGGTACGGATCCAAGTGTGATGAGGTGTGAATGAATATCTAACAATTAAAAAACAAAAAAAAAAATAATTTTTTTTTATATTTTTAAATTTTTTTCTAAACACTTCTAAAATTAGAAAATAAAAAAATTAAAAAATTTCTTTAAACATTTTTTTATTGATAAAATTGATATATATTTGATAATATTATATACATATATATTATAAATTAATATTTTTAAAAAATTTATGAATCCACTACTATTACAAGCATAATATTGCATATATCCTCACTACACAAAAATCCAAAGTCTCCCATTTCTCTACATCCAACCAAATGCAATATTGTATAAGCCTGCCAGCTAAATGAGTTCTAAGAACAATACTCCAACACTTTTGTTTTCTTTTCAATTTATCATTTATGCAAACATTTCTCAATATTTGATAAACACAAATTTTATAATCATTTTACATTTTCTTTACGCTGCATGATGTTATAATGAGAAATTATTACATAGATCTTCTTGTAAATTTTAAAATTTTTTGAGTTACAATTATTATGTCAGAAACACTCGTGTGATTTTTTTTTTGTATAAAATAGATTATATTTTAAAAATAAAAGGGATTGTAAATATTAAAATTTGAATTTTAAATTTATCGAACATCATCTTTTAAAAATGAATGCATGAATCAATTAAAGTAAATCTTCAGTTTACTTATGTGATATTTTCTCATCGACTATGTAATGTCGGTTATGTCATTTGATATATTTATTTTTCTTCAAGATACAAAAACATTTTATTTATATTCAAGCAATCCCTAAAATGAATTAAAAAAATTCAAATGGATGGCTTTGTGTTTGTATAGTGTATACTGTACACCAACATTTCACCCCTAGTCTGTGTGTTGCTTGATCTTGTTTATCATGTCTATTACTTCCCAAAAACAAATTTGAAGAGTCCATTGGACCTGATAGCCCATACAAGCTGTTCTCTAAAGTGGAAAGATGGCCGGGACACATAAGCCAGGCCCAAGTATTATTGGACCAAGTTCTGTTGGACCATGTAAGTAAGTTAAACACTCTACAAATAAACATTCGAGCATTTAACTCAAAAAAATTCATGTATTTATTTTATTTAAAAGTTAGGTTGGAAATCACTTTTTTTTTTAATTAAAAAAATAAAAAAAATTAGAAGAATAAAAGAAGGATTAGAGATGCCGAAATTCAAACTTAAATTGTGATATTGAACGTTCAGTTTTTTTTTTTTTTTGCCTAATATGACATACAGGATTATTTATTTTTTTTTTAAGAAGAGAATTGGAGTTAATGGGATGAGATTCAACTGTTTTAGAAAATATGTACCGAAAACATTTAGGTTACTTGTCATCAAAGGATAAAACAAGAGATACCAATTTGTTTTATTAAAATTTTAATGTTTGAAAATTAATATTTAATCCAATTAATTCATATAATTATTTTTAAAAAATAAAATTTAATAATTTAAAATTTTAATTCATATAATTTTTTTTTTTTATCTTCAAACGATATTTTTATATCAAAATAAAATTTTAATTGATGAGCATTAATGGATTCTAGCATATCTACCTCAGTCTAACTGTTTCGAGCCAACAACTTTTATTGTTGGTAACTTAGCCCTGCCCAGCCACTTTTAAACATAAAAGTTGATTTTAATTAAATAGGACAATACGTGTTTTCATGTGGTATAAAATATAATATTTATATTATATTTTATAAAAAATTATATTTTATACTTTATATGAATATAAAAATATAAAATATTAATTTTATTCAATTTATTTATAAATTTTTTTAAATTTTAAATTATATCATTTATATATATATTTATATATTATTTTCATATCGTAATATCATCACATATTTTAAATTATCGTATTTAATTTTATCCAAATCTCTAGATCAAGAGTTTAAGCCAACTCTTCCTCCAACTCCAACCAACCCCCGAGCAATAAGATAAATTTATTTACTTTTTCATATATTGTGAAATATCTTGATTATTTAATTAAAAAAACGGAATACATTGATTATTAGTTAATTATTTTTATACCTGTCAAGTGTTGCATATTTGCTAGATTTTATGAAATAATGTTTTATATTAAAACTTTATATTAAGAATGAAATGAAAATATTTATTGTATTATATGTTGAGTTTTTCTATTAGAATAATTCAAAATCTTTTCTGATTAAATGTAAAATAATAGTTATTGTAGGTTTTTAATTTTATTATACGTATTAAAATTTGGGCTCTGTGTGAGATTATTAAAAAAAAGTTAATATTTAATTTAATATTTGAATTATACTATTATTCAAAAAATTTTTGTTGAAATTATTTTTATAATTTGATACTTATAAAATTTTTTTTATCGTTTTGATACTTAATTTTCATCTTATCATATCATTTATTTTAAATATCAACTTTGTTAATAATATATTGATGTGACAAAAAATCAACAAATAAAATTATAAAATGTGGTGTATTTTCATTGCATTAATAATGCAAAATGCTTGATGAATGTAAAATTAAAAATTCAAATTATTAATTTTTTTAAGCACCAAATGATGAAAACTAATATAATTTATTGTCAATTTACATATTAATTCAAAAAAATACAAAAATTTTGGGTTGATCGGGAAATAAAAAGATTTTATTTGACTTTAATTTTCAATTTTTTTAATGTTTTTTGTTTGCTTATTTCGTTGGGATATTCGTCTTCCTTTTGCTTTTTTAGGTGATTTCACAGCTTTGTGAGTTCGTAACTAGTATGTATTGTGGTCCAAAATTTATGCACCTAACAAAAACATTATGACTAGTTGTTTTTTTGGACAGTAAAATAAACATTATGGCACTGCCTCTTGAAACTAAAACCCAACATTTAAGCATAGCAACATACTCAACTTCAGAATCTCCCAATAGCCAGAAAGGCCGCAAAAATGAGCTTTACCTAACCCTCTGACCATCCTTCAATACAAACAAACAAAACAGTTTGTTCCTTTGTTCCTTGGAAAATTAGCCCAGCTATTTGGACTGCCGAGTTTTGGTGAAGGTTTGAACGTCTGCTGAAAAGTAGATCATTTTCGGTTCCAAGCTTTTTCTTTTTTTTTTCTTATCTCAAATTTCTAGCAATGACGCCAATGGGAATTCTTGGTATTCTGTTTCTGCTGCTTGCTTTATACTGTGGGATAGACCCTTTTAAGCACAGTGCAATATCTGAATTTCCTGACTTTGAGGCTTACAAGGTGGATATGCCCTCATGGGAACTGGTTCCGACGGTTAGGGACAAGGATAATTTGCTTCAGAAATCAGAGATTAAGTTCTTGAACCAAGTTCAGGGTCCTGAGAGCATGGCATTTGACCCTTTTGGTCGTGGTCCTTACACTGGTGTTGCTGACGGTCGTATTCTCTTCTGGGATGGTGAAAAGTGGAAGGATTTTGCTTATACTTCAAGCAATAGGTGAGTTTTCAAGTTCTTGCCAATGGGTTTACGTTCCTTTTTTCCTTCTTTTTTGGTTGTTTTTGTTGCAGAAATAATTTTACATAATTGAATTTTGGTACAAATTTCTATGGGAAATAAGGAATGCCAGCCTTCATGAAGTGATGCTGTATGATAATGAACCAAGCATGAAGTATCAGAGCCTGGGAATTTTTAACTTTCTATTTGTTCTGTTAATTGTGATGATAGTATGTATTTTTCTTGTGGGGAATTTCTTGGAAAATCTCTCCTACTCCAAACGGTGTTTTTTTCATTTACCGTTAAAATATTACTCATAATCTTTTAACATATGTAATTTGGGATTCAGGTCAGAACTATGTAATCCAAAGCCATCACCACTGAGTTACCTGCCAAATGAGCATATCTGTGGCAGGCCTTTGGGCCTCCGATTTGATAAGAACACAGGTGATTTGTACATTGCCGATGCATATTTGGGGTTGTTCAAAGTGGGTCCAGAAGGTGGATTAGCAACATCACTCGTAACTGAGGCAGAAGGGGTGCCCCTGAGGTTTACCAATGACCTCGACATTGATAACGAAGGAAACGTATATTTTACTGACAGCAGCAGCAAATACCAGAGAAGGTAGGTTTCTGATGATAATTTTTCTTTCTAAGATCTGGACAATAATATTGTTGATATTCATGGTACACTTGAAAAAACTTATGCATAATTGAACCATTTTGTTGAATCACAAGGGCATTCAAATGCCACCTATTCACTAGGATATGGAAAAGGATGCAGAGGACACTGTCATTTTGTTGCAAATTTGGCTGTGGGGAGGAACGTCCAAATCATGTTGAGACTAGAGGATTGTCCACATGTAGTTATTTGATTTGGTCGATACTTCCCCTTTACACTATGTCTTTGTATGGGTAGAAATCGTTTAATTCTCAATGCATGTAAATTCTTTGATTATATATGTTGCTTCTTTGTAAGACCCCACCATACATGCTATCAATTAGTACTGACACGATAATAATGCTCAGGAACTTCATGCAGCTAGTTTTTTCTTCTGAGAATAGTGGGAGGCTTCTGAAGTATAATCTACACACAAAGGAAACCACTGTCCTTATGAGAAATCTCCAATTTCCTAATGGTGTATCCTTAAGCAAGGATGGTTCTTTTCTTGTATTTTCTGAAGCATGTACGGGCAGGTGAGCTTGGTTCTTGATTTATTCAATATTGTTGCCTTAAATGTGCTGTAGCCAATACAAAAGTTTTTTATTTAGATTTAAACCCAAAGATACCTTTTAACACTGCTAGAACCCATTGCTTCAACTCATGCAGTAAAAGGAGATACTGCTTAAAAAAAATCTTCTGCTTTAGGAATTCTGAAAAGATCACACTATAAAATGGAAGTTACAACGGGTGATGAATAGCGTTGCTATACGATTCTGTTCAAATTTGTGCAAATAGGCTATGCTATTATGTGGATGAAAGTAACCTGTCTTTCTGTTGGAAAAATAACACAATTTTGGTCTCCTGTCATTTGCTTTGATCATCAATTGCTAGGTTTCAAGAGGAGATGTTGATATTAAAAACTTGTATGTGTTCAAAAGTTGGTTCTTGATAGTTCAAAGATAACTCTTAACTATTAGTATGTGATGGTTGGATATCTGTTAAATACAGATTACTCAAGTACTGGTTGAAAGGTGAGAAAGCAGTGGCTTCGGATGTATTTGCCATCTTACCAGGATTTCCTGACAATGTCCGCACGAATCAAGATGGCGAATTTTGGGTAGCAATTCACTGTCGCAGGTCCACGTACTCTCATATTTTGGGATTATACCCGAAGCTTAGGAAATTCGTTCTCAAGCTTCCCATCTCTACAAAGATTCAATACCTGCTTCAGGTCGGAGGCAAGCTGCACGCAGCAGTTGTCAAATACAGCCCAGAGGGGAAGCTGTTGCAGGTTTTAGAGGATAGCGAGGGGAAGGTTGTGAAAGCAGTTAGCGAAGTCGAAGAGAAGGATGGCAAGCTATGGCTAGGGAGTGTTCTCATGCCCTTTGTGGCAGTTTACAACTTGGCTTGAATTGACAATTCTTTTGCCATCCACCTCGTTTAGGCTTTGTTTCCCCTTGAAAAGTTCGGATGGTTGAAGATCTGAACTAAGCAACTATGGCAGTATACACCTTTTAATTTGATTTCTAGGTGTATCACTGCAATTACAAGCAGGCTATGTTAAGTATTTCTTGTTGGAAAAACAATTGAAAGAAACCCCTTCCCTGTCCCTGACTTGGTTTGTCTAAAACATTCTGCTTGAATAACCTTTTTTTTTTTTTTTTTTTCTTTTCTAGTCTAATTTAGTCTGAGATATTAAATATGTGAGTTCATTCTCCATGCACATTCAGTACGAATTGTGTAAAAAATCTGAACAACATTTAACAGACTTATGACAGAAGAACAAAGTTCCTGAAACAAGGTATCAAGTAGAAATCTCATATAGGAATAAAATTCGTATGTGCCTGTTAAAAATGTATAATCCTCATGAAGCTCATCAAGCTAGAATTTGTCACAACATCTTCAACAGTTGAGCAACTAGTATACAGGGCTTAAAATTTTATATATATTCATACATAACGTTAAAAATATAAACAGATTTACATAATCTATTTGTCCCTAGTTCCGAATTCTGCATCTTTTATTCTGAATCAGTTCTTAATCACCAACGTTCTCTTCAGATGTCCCAGGGCATAGAGAATGGCTTGACAAAGAAGAAAAAATCGATAAAAAACATATCAGGAAAAAGAAAACTTGACCAAATATCAGAGAAGACATGCATGTTATCGCAATGTTCATGTGTAGTACAGTCACTATCCAAAGTCATATATCTGCATTTTTATATCATTAAGCACTATAAAATGGTGAAATAAATTATAAAAGCATAAAGAAACATACTACTAAATAAAATTATAATATATACTCAATAATATGAGATGATGATAACCACATGGAACCAATCATCACAGCAATAGCCAACTTCATAACTTTATAAAGGAAGGTGTATCAGATAAAAGAACATCTAAATGCAGCTATTGAAATGAAGTAATTTCAACACCTAAGCTTACCTTTGAAGCTAAAACACTTTCAGTTGATGCAGTTGCTGAAACAATACTTATTTGGAAGCAGAACTTGCAGCACATGAAGCTTGCACACTGGCATCAGTCAGAGGAGTTTCTCCACCAGCATCTGATATCCGGTGGCTATTTGATTCTGGATTAGACCTATCTTCTAAACTGCCTGATACAGTAGCATTGCTGATTGTGTTATCTCTGGTTTCTAGACGCTCCATCATGCGCGAGACTGTTGCAATGTCAGCATTAGCCTCTCTCCTAACTTCAGAACCAAGATCTGCCATGGAAGTGTTGCGAGAGAAAAATCTCTCCTTCCACCCCCTAGTACTCTTTGAAATTGACTCTTTGTATCTAAAAAGATCCAAAAGTCAAAATACAAGTGCAAGTTTAAAATAAATCATGAAAAATAAGTCATCAGAATATCACTCTACTTAAAACCTCAAATTTCTCCATATCAGCAATACCTCATTGAAACAGCATTAAACCGCGATTTTAGTGATTCTGAAAATGACTGGAATTCTGAAGGTCCTGCTCTATCTTGACTATTAGGAGAAGACTGATTAGGAGACCTCCTGCAAGAGAACAAAAGTAGATATTATTGTGATCAACATAAAGCAAGGCTGAAAAATGTATTCTGAAGTTTACACCAGAGAAATACTCAATAGAAAAATACGGAAAATCAAATTAGCGAATAGTAAATACCTATTGTTCAATGAATTCCCTTGATCATTTACCAAAAGAACACCGGAGCCAGACACTGAGGCAGACTGCTGATCAGCTGACGCAGATTGTATTGGGGTAATTGATGCTGAAGATTCTTCACCCACTGTTCTTGCAGGAGAGGATGGAGTACCAATGGTGACTGCAGGGGCTGGTTCACCTTCTCTCTGAGTTGGAGATAATGAAGATGCAGGGCCAGAAGTGTGTGAATTAGGATGAGTTGAGAAAACCAAGAACTGTGGACGACCTTGAGCTGATGACCTATTTCTCAGACCTTCCCTTCTTGCAATATGACGTGCTCGCCCCATTGCAGCAGCAGCAGCCAAGTGCTGGATTATCCGCTCCTCAAGCTCAGCATCATTTGCCCCCACTGGCAGCTGCATTTAAAGCAACCCGATGAGTAAGGCTCTTTCCTAAGGGCTTAAATTCAATTTATGATGATAAAAATGAGGATGCTAGGCATCTAACTAGCAGACAAGAAATACAAACATGCTGTAGTTCAAAATCCCCCAAAGTTGGATGATGAAATATGGTTGCATTTCTAGAAGGATTGAACCTAAGACTCCTTTCATGTTCAACAGCCTCCAGCAACTCCTGGCTGCCAAAGCAAGAGATATGATGAGCATGTAAAAACACACGGGCAAGAAGAATCTGGAACAGGTAACAAAAAATAAACCAGGGAAAAAAACATAGAAGAAATATCAACCTGGTTGGATCTTTCAGGCTAATTGGCTGCCAACACATGGGGCATTGAGAACTCCTCTGACACCTGCAAGATTAAAATAGTAAAATGAAGAATTAAGATAAAGTTTTGCTGTTTATTACCCCTTTTGATAAGTAGAATGAACTGAATTCATATCTCATATAATGATATCAACTTCAATAGAACATACAGCCCATAAATTCACATCAGATTCTTTCATGAAGTGGAATGATTGAAAATTAAGAGGGTCACAGTTCTCAAAGCATGTAATAAGTATATCATCAACACTCTAGAATAATTGAAGTTGTCAATTATATTCTTTGATAAATTCTTCTAAAGCATTCAATTTAATCGGCTTTCGACTTTAATCAAACCTGAAGCTCTTTTTTTTTTTAATCTAATGTTGGAAATATAGATTGCTATTCAGGACTAGTTCTGAGATTGAATGCAATATGGTAGAAGAAAGCTGGTGTTTTAAACTGGAGATTTTATGTGCTCATAATATCTGAAACAAAGAATCTCCAATACCCTCTTACATCCTAATATTCCATATTTTTCTTAAGTACTAAAATAAACAAAATTTCAGAAAAATTATCCCTACAAACCCTTACAAGTACAGCTTCAAAAACCTTCACCAGGATGTTATAGCTCTAATATATTTCTCTAAACACCTGTATTTCATCATCATAACCTATATTCCAGTTTGTTAAGAAAATCCTTTGATAGTGGTGAGGGAAGAGGTGAGAAAAACAGTTTTAACAAATAATAATAATAATAATAATAATAATAATTGACATCTAGAAAATATTATACACTCAACAACCACCCACACTTCATTCAACCCACATACTCTAATAAATGCCTCCTTTGCTGTTTGCTTCTTGTGTCTTAGAATTTCCTAAACTCTCATAGAAATCCATGTCTATATCATGCATCACAAAAACATCACAGACATATAGCAATTAGTCATGCATATTGTCAAACTAGCAATTTACTTTAGTTTTGACAAAAGAAATTGTCATTACCTTGGTAAATACACAAACAAAGATTATAATGAGATTAATACTACACAATTTAGTCAAGAAAAATAGAGGGAAAAAGAGGGGTAAAAGCTTCACAGTAAAACAAACATAAGCTATGGCCTTTGGCACAGCCATTCATATCCCCCTTTAAGGGGGGTCGAACCTACAGGGCCCATCAATCCTTTACTCCTACTAGATGACTTGGGGTTATCCCCATTCCAATAGGAGGAAAAAGAAAAGAAAAAGGCCACCCTAAAATTCCAAAAGAATTGAAAAAATAATAAGAAAACTGAAATTAGGTGAACCTTAAAGCCATGTAAAATAACGTACAAAAGACAACAGAGTGATCCATCAACTTCAGCATTCTCTGTTAAAGTTGCATTATACCACACGTTTTGATTCACCAATAACAAACTAAATATCCAACAGAAAATATTAAGATGTTTAGAGGAGAAGTAATGTCCTGCTAAGAGATCTAACAATATGAAGTAACTCAAATAAATGCATTCCTAAAAACGAAATGTAAAATGAGGAAAAGATATAAAGAAACTGATAACTTCTGCATAAGCCACCAGTTCATCAATCAAAGAAAGTAGCCTAGGTGCAAGATGCAGACCATTTTACACTATCCACTACACTAACCAAAAACTTGCTGCACACAGGCCTCATGGTCTCACAAAAATATGTAGTCATGTTAAACTTGAATAGGCCATCCCCCCTACACACTAAAACTTCAAGCGTTTAGGAATTTAGATATTTTTGCAATAAGTCCCTCGTCTTCAAATAATTCCAAAGAAATTACTACCTAGGATTGGTTTGCAAGGTATTCAAATAAAAGGCATGTGAGGTTTTCACCAAATTTTCAACTTGTTTTACGATATGGTGTTGAACTCTAGTGAAGACGACTGACTTAGACTAAGGCTCAATAAAGAAGGGTAATTTGAGTGACATCTTTCGTGAGGAATTAGCAAAACAAAACTCAAGCTATGGGAGAAAAAACTTTCCATGGAAAGCAAAATGGAAAATTACTCAGGCATTTTTTTTTGTATGAGAAGCATCTTGAAGAAAGAAATTTAATCAAACATAACCTTCAAAGAAGGGAAAATTATTCACAAAGTTTGGCACAATAAAACCTAATTTAAAACCCTAATTTGTTAATATATACCATTTTCAGATCCGTCAACCAGTCTGTAACATCAAAATAAACATCCATAGAGCAACACCTTCGTTTCTTCATACAAAGCATCTTACCTCCCAGTTAACACTTCACATGAGTAATTTTTGCTCTCATGGACAAACAAAAGCACACATCATGCCTAATTCATATTTGAACTGCTTCCTTATCATGAACATGAAGTTATGCCAACAAAGTTGATAGAGGTTTGATCTCTTTTCTGGTTATAAAAAAATGAAATGAAAAATGTCCTTTCATACTTTAAATTGTAATACTGCTTCTGACCTGCCTGCAATCCAGACCTAGGCAACTAGGACACAATTTGATTCTAATTAAGCATCATGATTAGAAATGATGTATTTGGTTATAATTTACAAAACCCCCTACTTTTAAAACACTAAAAAGAACTTGCAATGTACAACATAAAACAGTACCGGATCCAAAATTCTAAACCATAAGACAAAAGCGACAGCTAAATTATCCCCATTGGTAAACATTTTCCCAATTTTACAAGTCTAGTCAATTTGCGCATTTTACTAACTTAAGTCATTTCTCTGACTGATTTATAAAAGTAAGAAGATAGCCACATTCCAGCACAAAATTAGACCATCCCGCCACCACCATTCACATATACAGATATAACATGAACTAAATAGAACTACAATGAATTTTAAAAAATGAATATAGATTAGACTACCATTCAAGAATGCACTGAAGATGAAACTCGTGCTTGCAGCTGGTCACCTGTAAGGGACGTAACAACCAAGGATCAAAGAAATGTCCATTCACATATCAAACAAATAAGAATCAAAATTTTAAGGCATACATACAGTAGATGGATCACTTTCACAGAATGCTTCAAGGCATATACTGCAGGCATCATCACAAGCATCCTGGATTCCCCCTTCCACAAAAGCTGCAGCCGAGGTTAAATGCGCCTCAGACTTGGTATCTTCCATCCCCTGCAAGTCCAAACACCAAAGCATCCATTTTTAATCTCAATTCCAAATTTTTTTTTTTTTAAAAAAAAGAAACTAACATTAGTCTTAGACTTAGACACAAAATAAAACCAACAGTGACCAGTAAACAAATTCAACACCTGGATAAAGACTGACCCATCAAAACAGTCCATATATAATCAACACTGAAGACACAGACACTACACCGATCAGATGCATAAAATCAGTTCACTTTAACACAGGATAAAAAATATTAAGCCTTAAAAACTTTACTAAAACAGAAACTACAAAATTCACAATAGATAAAAAAAAAAAAACCCATAAAAGTCCACCAAATTTTCCGACAAATTCCTAAACTTTACCTTCAATTCCTCACCAACCAAACACCCCAAAGAAACACAGAAAACAAAATCAAAGAAACACCCAGAATTTACTTTACCTCCATTTAAAAGTATAACTAAGGAAACCAGTAGATTATCCACCCAATAGATCGTTTACCAAAACAGGGTCGTTGGAAAAAACCCTAGATTTTTGGTAGATTGGACAAAGGGGAAGACTTCAAATTTGGGGATCTTTTTAGCAGAATCGATGAAAGTAATGACTTTTTATCTATTGTTAAGAGAGTGGAGAGAAGACTTGGCCAAAGTGGGGTGAACAAGAGAAAACAAAGAAAGAACCTACAGCTGGGTCCTGTGGCATCTGTGGTTTCGACACGTGGCAACTTCACTGTAATATCTTTGACGATTTTTTCTTCTATGCCGTCACTGCAGTGTTTCTTTATTTTCATGTATATTAAAAAATTTTAATTTTGATGTATTTAATATTGTAATATCAAAAATAAAAAATATTTCGAAACATCCAAAAAAAAAAAAAGAGTGAATACTTAAAATAAGACAAAAAAGCAATAATTCTTTATTAATTGCTTTTTCTAATAATCTTATCGATCACCATTTTATGTACAAAAAGGCCAGCAAACAAACGTGCGAAGCACAATGTTACAATAAGAGTACTCACCAATTAAGCTTTTATTTTAAGGTTCCCTCTATCTTTTTAGCAAATAAATTTCACATAATTCTTGAATAATTTTACCTTATTTTAGGGCTTTTATTTTCGTAAAATAAATGATAAAAATTATTTACTTCATAAATAAATTTATAAAATTGTCACATATCTTAAAAGTTAAAATCTAATAAACATGTGAGAATTCTTCGAATTCATTAAAATTTTTGAAACTTCGTCAAAAATATTATATCATTTTCGAATTTTATTTTGTTTTAGATGTGAATTTTTATAAATCAAGGGGTGTAATATCTAAATAAAATTTTGAATTTTATTTCAAAATGTAAATAAAATTTTAGTCTTTTATTACATGAAATTGAGGCTATAGATTTTTAATTTATTGCAATTATACTCATTAGATATTTAAAAAAGATAAATAATGACCAATTGACATAATTTATAAAAAACATTTTCTCAAATATTTGTCAATTCATTCAAATATAAATAAATAATTTTTTACGAATTAAATCATCCAACTAACAAATTTTAACTAAAGATTGAATATTTTTTTATCTTGAATGATTTAATTACAATTAAATAAAAGTTTGTAGCTTTAATTTCACATAATAAAATGTTAGAGACATTTTCATTTTGAGCAAAATTGAAAAGCTTATTTGAATATTACCACAAGGTTAATGAGAATTAAATACATGTAAAAACACAACACATACCAATGATTATATTTATTGAAAAACTCACACCACTTTTACAATACTTAGTATTGAGTTTTTCTTCTTTTTTTTTTAAGTTACACTCATAATCAATTGTTTTAAGTATTTAATTTATTTTTAAATTTTTATTTTATTATTTATATGACTGAAAAGGAAATTATTTGGATAAGCTCTCTTGAACTTGTAATCTTCAAGCCAACTTCAATTATATGCTAATTAATTCAAAAATTTGATTAGTTATACTCATTATCAATTGAATAATCAATTATTATATCATTGAATGATTAACTGATAAATTATAATTTAATTAAATTACCAAACCTCCATATATTATAATTTAAATCTAAGATATCAATATTTTAAAACTCTCTTCTTATCATTAAATCAAAATTTATTCGTAGTTAGTATTTAAATTTTAGATTCACTCTTATAAAAATTGGATACGATATAAGATATGTTATTTTAACTTAATAATTGAATAATATTTTTTTTATAAAAAATCATAATTTAAGGGATTACAAAATAAAATTTGTAAATATTAAAAATCAAAATTTAATCTTATGAGAATTTACAAAAGTGAGTGAATTATTTTAATTAAACTTTAAATTCAATTCAGTAACATATTGAAATTTTGAATTTTATTTAATCACATAGATTATATAAAATAATAAAAAATTTGAAAATAAAAATAAATAGAATTAAGTATTTGATTTAATGATAAATGAATATATTTTTCTATTCACTAGCATAAAAAATTAGAATCTCCTTTCGCAATCAAAATATTAATCACAAAAACAAACAAGGTTTGGCCAACACGGTATGGATGGAAAGTCATGAGCCTTTGTCAATTAACAGTCTGTCCAACTTTGAATATGCATTTCATTGGAGCCCTAAAACACAAATTGCAAAGCGAGACAAAAAAATCTCAAATTTCCTCTTTCATACCCACAAAAAATAAAAATTTCCCAAAACCTCCCCCATAGTCCCATTCAAGAAAAGGTCCCACTCCCAAACTGATTTAATTCCACCCATCACGTGATACGTCTCGTCACGTCTCCCTCTGCGAAGGACTCCTCCAAAATCCAGTCCCATAAAACCGGTCCCACATCTCCTTCTCCAAATGAACGGCTCCCGCGCACCCATCATCCTGATCGTCCCCACATCGGGCCCCTTTCCCCACTACCTGATCCGGCTCAGCCTCCAACTCTGCCCTCGGGGGCCCAACCTTAGCCGGACCCAAAAAGCCCGGATTCTTTTTCATCAAACGCTGTCGTTTCCTCCTTTTCCAAACCTTCTTGCAAAGCCCGGCAGGAACCTTATAAAGACCCAAAACAAGCAGCTCCATAACGCTAAATGGACAGCAGCAAAACACAGCCGTGCACTCCGCCACGGTCCCACCGACCACTGCCCCGAATTTGTTCCCTTTCCTCGCTGTCTTCGGATCCTCCGATAACAAAACTGGTTGCCTCCGTGTCACAGGCGGTGCTCTCATCAAAACCGGACGAGTCATCTTTAACCAAAAGAGTATGTTATTCTCCCTAAATTCTCTCTTAAAACCCTCAAAGAAAGGGCTAAAGAAAAAGAAAATAGTGATTTTGAGAATCTGATTCTTGATTCATTTTGAATAGGTTTTATTCATCAATCAAGAAAGCACGAGAAAGTGAAGGAAAATTGGGGTATATGAGAGATAAAATTAGAAATCCAGCTAGGAAATCAAAGAGATTTTTTTTTTTTTTTTAACGAAGCAGAGAAATAGCCGGAAAATCGAAAGAAAATTCTAATGTGGTTTTCTTAAAATGGTTTATTTGAAATATTAATAGTACTAACAAAAAGAAACCGTTTAGTTATGGAAATTGAAGACGTAGGAGCCAACAGGTTTCAATTTGGTTTTGACATTTTGTTTTCTAAGGAAAATTTAGATAAGAAATATGTTTTTGAATTAACTAATTTATTTAATTATAAATATAGAAAAAGAAAACACAATTTATGGTTATATATATTAGCAATATAATTATTTTGCTAGATGCAATATGATATTTTTAAATATGATAAGAAAATGATAATTTTAAGTACGATACGATAAGATGATTTAATATGAAATTGATATAAAAATTTTAAAATTATATAATTTAAAATTTTAATAAAAATTATATATCAATTCAATAAAAATAAAAAATAATTTATGTTTTACATTAATAAAAATTACGACATAATAATTTTCGTATTATATATATTTAACATGAAATAAGTATATATATGTGTTTGACGCGAAATAAAATATTTATGTACGGGTTATCACATTTAGTAATTAAAATGTATGTATAAAGGAAATATGGTATCTAAAATCTTAAAACTCTTTTTAAAGGAATTAAAATATTAGAAGCAAAAATAAGTTCTTAATAATTAATATTTTTAATTTCTTAAAATTTTTAGATAAAATTACATGAATAAATTATTTTTTTACTTTTGTCATTCAAAAGTGATAATTCCGTTTCTAAAGTTCAAAACTTCAAAAACTAATTCATTGAATTATTTATATATTTTTAATTCTCATTAATTGTGAATATTATTCTATCCACAGATTTTGGAGATTTTATTTAAGCTTTCTAACTGAAATTCAATAATTTTTTATTTAGTGAGAAGAAATTTTTGAATTTCATCTAATAAAAATTATTGTGTCGGTTGATATTTAATATTAATTATATATCTAATTAATTATTAATAATTAATTTATTAATTTTTATAAATACTATCACTCATAAAATATAAACCCTATTCCTATTCCAATTGTAAAATTTAAAATCTCAATTTTTTATATTTTTCTTATATAGTGTTAAAAACAAGCGGTATTGTAAGTTGTTGGGGAAAATATCCTTTATTTTCCTTCCTTCAAACTTGAAATACAAAAGATTTGATACACAATTGATTTCTGATAAATTTTTTTTTAAATGCAATTCATATTCATAAAATTGGCTAAAATGTTTAAGTTAAGCGATTCAATAGTTCAAGACAAACCCATTATTATGACAATATCTCATCGTAGCACTATAAGTGTGTTCAATAAATTTGATAATTTTAAATACGAAGTAGTAATATCATTGAGAAAAAAATATAAAATAGATATTATTTAAATTTTTATTAAAATTGATATATAAATTTGATAAAAATAAAAATATGTTTTATATTTATCGTATTAAAATAAATTATAATATAATAATTTCATATTTTACACGTATTATATATAAAATAAATAAATAAAAATATACAAATTGTCCGATTTAACTTCAAGGCTCGATGGTTTATTCTTTACTCTTTTAAGATTATGGACTAGAAAATTAATCTTTTTTGCAATTGATCATATATTTTCATCTACACGAGAGATTGAATATCAACACCAATGATGTGATTTTGGAATGAATATCCTAATTTCATAAAAGATAATAATGATTTTACAAATTTTTGTAATTAAATATTCATTCTTAAATTTAACCAAATCGCATCATCTTATTCCAGAGAATGATAATTCGCCCACGGCCACGAGCATTGGGACTAAGAAGGAGAAGGCTAGCCTTGGATTAGAGTTCTATGGTCTATATAGAGATAAAGAGGCTTTTGCTTTGTTTAAAAGAGACTATCGTCCCATATCTAAAGAACTAAGCTTACCAAATTATGCTTTGATGATCTAAAACATGTGATATCGGGTTACACAATTTTTTTTTTTTTAATCTCACAATTCATCCGATCCTGTTGATTAGAGGATTGAACTCAAAATTTTAAGACGGAATTTTAAATTTTAACCGTTAATATATCTTTATTTGGAACAATTTAAAGTAATTTGTTATTGAACAAATATAATCATCACTAATAATCTAAAACTTTATTTTATTTATTTATTTCAGGACAGTAATCTAACATTTCCCTTGTCCTTTGATCCTTTCGATGCAAGATGTAAGAATTATAAAATTCATGGTACCATACTAGTCTACAAACCCCCCACACACCGACTCTTCAAACTTGCAACATTAATTAAGTACCCCATAACAATATAATTTGGAAAAAAAAATTGAACAACGTACAAACCCATATATATAGATGAAGAGATACGTATTTGGAAACAAAACCATGACGTTAAATACATGAAATCAAGTTCACTTGTAGGTGGTATTTTGTCATCTAGTGTCGGTGATTACCATATATTTCTTGTGGATTAATAGAAGTTAGGAATCTTATCCTTACGCAAAAATAAATCATGAAAACCACATGGTACTCTCCTAGGCAGCCTGACCACTGCAATAATGTCGAGTTCTGGTGATTGGGCGTCCATCACTAACAATTCTGACTCGTTACTTTGCTCATTGTGCACATAACTGATTAAATAGCCATCATCTTCGTTAGACATGGTATCTTCCGGATCTCTTGCAACAAATAACGGCTCCCCCCAAGCATCCTGGTTTATAAATTCGTTTCCCAACTTCACATCCCATTTTCAAGTCAATCTTTACTACACCTAACATTTTCATGCATGCTTCTTTGTTCACTCCTAGATTGCCGAAACAAGTCTCTTTTCCAACATAGCAAGGATTTATTGATCCAAATTCTAGATTTCTTGGTGAAAGAATAATTCGGGAAACATTTTTAGTCTTCATGTTGATTGTTACCTTCTCCAATTTGATCTCGACAGTCTCGTCAAATGTGTTCTTCAAAGAAACTATACTGGATGCAATAAGAACAATTTCGTCCTCTCCATTTTCCCAATTATTTAGCATATGGATTGTATTAAAATCTGGAATTTCAAACCACTTCATCTCTGAATCATTGAGAGCTTTTCTTGTTAAGATTCCGATTCTTGGAGTTTTATTTGGTTGGTAATCAATGAGCCTGCCTCTTCCCATCATCACTTTCCATGGCACTAATTGAGTCTCATGAAAAATTGCAAACCTCTTGGTTATAGGAAAGTCATGGACGAAACATGGTTGCTTGATGGAAAAAATTGGTACTTCTTTTTCCTTGATACCATTATCATCAAAGCGAAAAAAATTTACATGAGGAAACGTTAAACTCCACCTGAAAGCAAATGTCGCCTTCGTCTTCGAATCAACTTTATGTTAGGAAAATGGGGTTCAGTCACATGTAAATGGTTTTGGACCAAGTAAAAGTCATGAGCCTTGACCTTTCATTTTACACAGAGCAACCAAGTAGAAAACCAAGTAGAAAAAGAAGAAAAGCTAGAAAAAGCAGAGAGAAAAAGGAGAAGAGAGAGTTAGTTAAACGAAAGTCGATCCGTGGTCCGATTGAGTTGAAACCTTGTCAGGAGGTTTATGATTCAGAGTTCTACATTCTGAAGGGTGAAGATCAGGTTTAAAGCTCTCTAGAAACAAATCCATGGTATATTTGTTAAGTCACTTATTTGATGAGATTTCTTTAATTATTTCTCTAGTTGTTGTTTAGCTCTAGTTTTAGCTAGAGAAGAACTTTGTATATCTATTATTTGATAGTAAATATTTTTCTGGTGGCCCATGATTTTTTTTCTCTACACTTGAGGGTTTTTCACATAAATCTTGGTGTGCTTTATTTTTCCTACGTTTTTTTATTATTGATTATTGTCTATTGCTTCTGTATTGTTGGGATTATTGCTTCAAGAGCAACAAGTGGTATCAAAGCGAGGGTTATTTTGAGACATTGATATAGAAGCAACCCAGGATAGAAGTAAATTCTATTTGAGACCATGAAGGGTGATACAGGTTTCATGATAAAATTGACAGCATTGAATTATTCAATTTGGAAGCCTATGATAGAGGATCATCTATACTGTAAATATTTGTATGAGCCAGTAATGGGTGATTCGGCTAAACCAACAGATATAAAAGATGAAAGCTGAAAGAAGTTAGGTAGAAAGACGTTGGCTATAATAAAAAAATGTGTTGATATCAACGTGTTCCATCATGTGGCACAAGAGTCAGATGCTCACATTGTTTGAAAAAATTTGGCAGTATTGTATGAGAGAAAAATAAGTATGAATAAAATTATGCGTGTTAAGAAGCTTACAACTTTACAGTATAGGGGTGGGTGATCTGTTACAGAGCATTTGAGTGATTTTCAAGATATATTTTATCGGATGACTACTATGGAGCTTAAGATGGATGATGAAATGAAGGCGTTATTTCTTTTAGGTTCATTATCAGATAGTTGAAATACTCTAGTTGTGACTGTTCTTGATTCAGCTCTTGATTATAAGGTGACATTAGAGATGGTAAAGGACAGTATGTTTAATGAAGAATCAAGGTAAAAAGATGTAGACCATGGAAATCAAGCTCTAGTCACAGAGAACAGGGATAAAAACATCGACAGAGCTCAGGACTCAAAAGGTCATGGTAAGTCTAAACATAGATCCAAGTCTAGAGGTAAAGTGAAGTATTTTTATTATGGTAAGACAGGTCATATAAAATGAAACTGTAAAATCTTAAAGCAAAAGCGAAAAGATAAGAAAGGTAAGAGTTCAGATGATGGCAA